AACAGAATGATGGTTAAAACGTTAAAATTGGTCCAGTAGATCATGAGATATAATTATTTTTATCTTTGCGATTATATACTTTTTTCTTTATTCAAAACTTTGAACATGTTCATAAACTTTGAACCTAGGTTCAATAGGAACACTAGTGCCAAGTATAAGCTTCATGAAAATATATATTTTATTGGGTATTACTTTACAGATCTAGGGCAACATAATATATAAAAGAAGATCGCTCTCTACATATAAGGTAAAGTTTTGTAAAACATCTTTTTAAGCCAACTTAATCAGATCTATTAATAAAAAAGCTTTTTTATTGCTAGAACAATCCTTATATACTTAATACTTGTTACTAGAACTTGTAGAACTTGGTCGTAAATTCTCTACTCTAATTTTTCTATACTTTGCTTTTTACCTTTAGCTACCTTTTTTCCAACATAGTAAGGTACCAAATTCTTTGATCTTCGTCTTTTTGTATTATGCTTTTTTATTTTTAAAATGTCTTGTCTAATGATCTTCGTGATTCTAACTACCCCTTTATTATAACAATTAAATATACATTTATATCCAGCAGGTATTAGTTGACTAGAGATCTCAAATAGTGAGTGCTTTTTAGGTTCATTAGAGGTAATTGCTTCATAAAGTGTATTTACTAGCTTCTATAATGTCTCTTTATGAATATTCTTTGCACACACAGTTTTACTTAAACAGGTGTCAGTTACGTATTCTGCATGCAATGCCATCAATTGATCTCTTTCATTCTTTTATTTTGGGCTGCTTTAATTACTAATTTTAAGTTGTCTATGTCAGTTAGATGTCCAGTCAAGTTTTGTTTGACAAATTTTACATCAAAATACTTAAGTGCTTTATCAAATCCAAAGAAATTTTCATCTGCAGTAAGATTTATAGATTCAACCACTTGAAGTTTTGCTTTTAGTATTGGATTTGTTTCTACTATCATTAAGAATTGTAGTACTGATTCTGCATATCTACTTTTTCCAGTGACAGGAAATAGTAAAGAAAAAGCTTTCAAATGTTCATGTTGAACTTCGAAATTACCCATTCAGATGCCAATTTTATGAAGTTTAAGCCAACCTGCCCACTGATAATATCGATACCAAACTTTCAAAACATTATTATTTTCATTTTTGATATTTTCTAGTGTTATGCCATAGCTGTCCACATACATATGAATAACAATTGCTATAGCTGCCCAGATAAGCTCAAGAACACAAAATGTTGCTCGGTAATCAACAACATCCTGAAGCTTTTCCAAGAATTTTGTACCAAGTGTAGATGCTAATCTGAATAATTCATAACCAGAGAAAGTGATGATTAAAGCACTACTTATATTCTTGCTCATATGCTACTGACCAAGAATAGGATTTAGTTTTAGTCAATTATTAAAATAATATGTAAGTCTGCGAAAAATAGCTTTATCACATGCAATGTCTAATAAGTCTTCTTGATTCAAATTTGCTGTTTGAAGAAGGTCCAGCTTCTAAAATGACAACGTTTGGTGGAGGTGTCTTGCATCCTCTTCCCACTACCTCTTTGAGTGCAACATTTATTTCATCCATAGTAAACTCCATTGGGTATTCTACTATTAACCATCTAAATATTTGAGTCTACAAATGGATTTTTTCCACACAGTTCAACATTATTAACTATTGGTGCTAGTTCAATATTAGGCATTTCAAACTGAAACACCATGTGTAGGGTTGCATGAGCTGTATCCCATGTGTCGTCATACAGATTTCTGGCTCTGAATATTTTTTCTTTAAAATCAATATTGTCTATTATAGCCAAGTTCTAAATATTTAGACCTGACTTTAATTTCTTTTGTGCATTTGCTTCTTTCATACATTGCTTTCTAACTTTCACTTTTACTACATTTGCTGCACGAAGAATACTATGCAAGTATGTTGTAAGCTTTGGTCATTTACAGAAAGATCCAATTACTTGTGGAAGCCAAAATTTCCAGCTTTTAAATGCAGTTGTTAAAATTATAGAGACAAGAATGCTGTGCTTTTCACTATACCACTTTTATCAAATTCAGTTATAATACTTTTGCATTCTTTTTGTTTTTGTTTAACAATTTCATATTTTTGAAATAGTAAAGTATGAAATAAACTATCAAAAAGGCTTGTTAAGCATTTTGGTATTGCTTCATAATACTGCTGCAAAGAATCAGGACTTTCTAATATTGACTTATAAGGTGCTAAGCTGGTACGTGATTTTAAAACCTCAAGGGCAAGTGATTTTCCAAGTTCTTCATATTTTTTGGGGTTCTGTATAAGTTGTTTAAAAAAATCAATTTTTTTAATTTTGAATATTGATTAATAACAAACAAGCTAGGTAATTTGCTAGATGATGCAGAAAATGAATCCAAATTAAAATTTTCCATGCATGGAATGAGGACTTGAAGTAAGTTTTTTTTTGTTATATCATTTTCTGAGTATGCCACCATTTCAATTAGCTTTGCAAAATAGAGAAGCGTAGTTTTGGTATCACCTAAATATGTTGCAGTGCATCCCGGGTCTGCTTTACCTGTACCCATGTGTACATGCAAATATCCTCCATTCTTTTCATAGCACTGACAACACACATAACGAATTCCCCATGAATTATATGTATTTTCTGTGTATGAGCTTTTATTAATAGCTGAGTAGAGAACCATTTCACAACAAAGTACTTGTAGCTTCTGATTGTACACAATTCATATATGTTCTATATAGCTTGTTCCATGGCTAAAGAAGAACTTTTTTTTGAGAAAAAACAAATATGGCAATTGATTTCACTTTTTTCAGTTGAGTGTTTGTCTTTTAGATTTTTACTATGCACAGTATTTTGATCATAATTAAAATATCTTGAGCATACACCAAGATGATGAAGTTCTTTGTTAACATAATTAATAGCATCTTCGTTAATTTTCTAAACACCAATTAATTTTCACAACCTCTTAGCGGATTCTCTATTACAGTATTATATTTCTCCATTATTATTATTGATTATAATGCATGGTGTAGGTTGTTTTGTCTTAATCGCAGGAATCTCTTTAGTATATTCATCACCAGTTTTCTCATTGCTTATTTCTTGCAAAATTGGTATGTCTTCCACACTAAATTCTTTCCATAGATCATTTTCAAATTCTGCTGAAACTAGAGCATACTCATATAGGCTTTGCTCTAAGTCAAACATGAGATTATTGTTATATTCTTTTTCATTATTTGATGAAATTATATCCTCAGTATTAATGTTGTTAGTCGAAATACTTAATTTAGTCAACCATTTAAACAATTAGTGTCTAAATATATTTCAACATGGCATTATTTTTTTTCAACATGTTAAAAGTCTAAATTTGACTAAATGCCTAAATAGTTGATTAATTAAATATTATGTAACTAAATATCTAAATAGTTGACTAAATATGAAAATGAAACTTCAATCATATTAAGTCTGGATGATTAAAGTCACATTTCTCTTAGCATCTCTAATTTATTACTGTGGCAATCAGTATAGTTTAAGAAAGTGCAGTGTTTGCAAATCTTTATTAAAGTCTTCAAAATTAACATATTTTTTAAGAGATAAAGATCAAATTTGGAATTACAAGTATCAAATTAAACAGTGTATTTGGCAATACATGTTTATATAGTTTAAAAAGTAATTAACAACCTCTTATACTTATTACACTGCAAATTAATATGATTAAATATTCAGCTTAAGTTAGGGCAGGGTTGGTTAGTGGTATAGTTTAAAATTAAATTACTATCAGATTTTTGATAATATTTGAACGCTTTGTGTTCATTCTTTTTAACATTGATTTCTTAAATTAATGACCAATCATAATTATTTATCACCCATGACAAAATATAACATAACTCGCTTTACTATTACCAATTTAATTATGAATATAATTGCTACGTTGTAGATCTGTAGCTTGAGAATTTACATCTGCTTTTGTAAAAATATAGAACAATTTAGAAATTTTAAAACATCCAAAAACAAGTCTTTTTATTTTAGGATAATCCAAAAACAAACTCGCAGCTATAAGAGATAATCTTGACTGAATAGTAAAAAAAAATTAAGATCTTTCGCTACGAACTTTGATGATCAATGATTTCCTATTCACAAAACCAGTAAATATCTTAATTCTAAAAATTGCTTTAAACAATAAACACTAGCAGAATTTTATCCTATGTTATTCTATGCTATTTGCAGCATTACAGTATTTTAACAATTACTGTAACAGCTTTATAATATTTAGATACAACAGTATTAAAAAAATTAAACTCGTATATACAAAAAATTAGGCTATACATATTCGTTACAATAATTTAAAGCTACTATATTTGGACCAATAGTCTTTTTGGTCTGTCTGGCCTGTAAAAGACCAAATTGGCCCGGTTCTAAGGAGAATCACAGGACTAGCAGTTTAGTCGAAACTGATTAATAGCCCTAATTCCCTTATCGTTGTGTTTTTTCATATATATTTCTTAATTTAGATATTTCAATATTATTTAGACATTTTGATATTATTTAGACATTTTAGCATACTTTAGGATTTCGGCAATATTTAGACATTTTGGCAGACTAAATATCAAATGTCAAAATATTTTTACAAGCATAAAACAATTTCGGCTAACAACATTAGGTTTGAAATCAAAATCAAGATAGAATTGAGTATAGTTGATAGTTTGATATTTATTATGAAGAAAGAGGTGTAAATAAGCAAGATTAATTGCAATATAAGCACGTTGAAGAATAGAGTATAGGGTAAAAAAATAATGTGAATGAAAGATTTTTTTATAGTTAAGACTTGTAAAAAGAATAGTAGTAAAGTTGAAAAGAATATTTTTAAAAGTAAAAAGTAATAACTCAGATGAAATATTAAAATTAAAAGAGAGTGTATTGGAGATATTTTGATAAATAATATCAAAAAGAAATTGTAGCTTTTGTAAAATCATATTTTGTAATAGATTATTAAAACTATTAAAATAGGTTGTTGAAGAATAGTAGGAGTATAAGTTGCATATCCAGGGTAAAAATTTTGAAGAAAAGGTTTAATAAAATTTAAAACATTAATTCCAAGAGAAATTGGAAATTGTGTTAAATTTTAGGTTTTTGGATTGATTGGAAATGCTTAAAACTAATCAAGCATGTCACTAAAAAGCTTATAATGAGGAAAAATTTTTTGAATCATAGTTAGTTTAGAGTATAAATACTAAAAATAAAAAGAAAAAAATGAAAAATTTAATAAAAAAATATGAAAATAAAAATATCAACTCTTTTCGATGATCACTAAAACCAAAATTTTTCAAACAATTTTTGTAAAAATAGTAACTAGTAAGTAATGAAAAGCATAAAACTAGAATCTATAAGTTGGTAGTTGTTATTTAGAGGTAGTTTTCATATGCTACTTGCTAACTTCTTCAGTGTTTATCACTCACTGCTAGTATGGTACTTGTCATTTAGAAGTAGTTCTCATATACTACTTGCCAACAAGCTCAGAGTTTATTACTTACCGTTTAAGTACAGTAGCTCTTTACCTTTTCTAGAAAAAGGGTTACTAGTTGTCAGTTCTTTCAAGAATAAAATATTCTCTTTGGGTACTAGTGGTTCTTTTTTTAATTCTTTCTTGGTCCTGTTAGTCTTCTCCAAAATTTTCGACAAAAAGTGGGCAATTTGGTTTACTCTCTCCAAAAGATCGGCATTGTTTATCTCCCAAATTCAGACATACCCAGGAATGCAACCATGTGCCTTGTTTATTGGTAGATATGTGACACGATGTAGCCTATGGATATGGAACTTCCACATGACTGGGATTGGGTCTCTGGCATAAGAAATATCCAGAGGTAGTCGGTAGTTAGATAATAATTTGTTAGATTTTGTAGTTGAGATATACAAATGTTGTAGTTGTTATAAAATTTTTTTGGACCTGGCACGGGTTATAATAGTGTATTTTTCTTTTTTTTTTGTTCTATTTGTATTACTTCTTGATAGAGATAGTTTCTTCTTTGTTGGCCCTTGGGCTTTTCTCTTTGATTTTCTTTTTTTATATTTCATTGTACTCCTTTTATTTCCTTTAAAATTTCCTCTTCGTTCTATTAGTTTTTTTTAGTTAGTTTTTCATTTTGTTTTCTTGGCATTATCGGTAGTTTTGTATTGGATATAAAATCATCACTTTCTTTTGCTCTCAGTAAAGAAAGAGGATATGAAGGGAAAAGCTTTGATGGGCTGACAAAGTTTATCTAACTTGTATACAGGTTGGTGCAACAAGTTGCATTTGGGCATATTAATCGCAGTTGGGTAATGTCAGGCTTGCAATTGCTAGATGCCTTTTATGGTTATGAATGATATGTATCGTTCGAGAGAGTTCAACTCTCACTTAAATATAGTCTTAAATAAATTAAGCACTGGCAAGACTGTCAAAGAATTAAAAAAAAATATATATATAGATAGTTTGAAAAATAAATTTTGATAGAATTTTTTGATCAGAATCAGATGATTTTGGATTCATTAGAAGCGTCTTGAAGAGGCTATTATTTTGGTAGTTAAATTGTCTAAATTGGTTGAATAGATCAAAAGTTATTGAATTTTAAAGATTTTGTATTATTAATAGATATAATTGTTATTATATATAGGATAGTATATAAATATAGAAAAAGAATGATCACTTGGACCAAATTTTCTGACGAAAAGAAAAGCCTATTTTCGATACTGAAGAGTAGTAACCTGTAGTGAAATGATTTCAACAGGGCGGTTTTTATAAAGGTTAACCTTTTTCTATTCTTAAAGACTCCTTTATATATTCGATATGCAAGCCAAAAGTATCAGTATACAAAATAACTGGCAGTTGGATGATGCCATTGTATATGAAATTTTGGTGGATAGGTAGAGGTAATAAAGTCCAAGCCTTTCGTTGACAAAGCTATCAGTTGCAAAACAACTGGAGAATAGTAAAGAATGAGTTTTTCTCAAGTTGCTCTCTTTTATTTAATCAAGTGGTTTCTCTTTTACTTTTTCTTATCTCCTCATTGGTCTTTCAAAAAAATTTTGATAAAATATAAGGATTTGGCTTATCTTCTCCAAAAGATCAGCATTGTTTATATCCCAAATTTGGATAGACTAGCAAAATGCAACCATGTGTTTGTTTACAAACAGATATGGTACTACTTCACGGGACTCAGCCTGAAAACTCTAATTACAGCAATAGGTGGCTTGAGATACAAATTCTTCTTGGGTTAGAGTAAATGTAACTCTCAGACAACGGCAGCACCTGGCTTAAGATATGAATTAGAATGGGCAACGAAGCAATTCAGAGTTTGTTGGAAAATCAGAAAGTAATTTTAATGTTAAGGCAAAGCCTTATATGAGAGATATACAAGCATTGCACTTGTTATACAATTTTTACCAGCCTTGCACGGGTTATAATAGTGCCTTTAGAATCTTAGATTTCTTTTATATTTTTTCTTTTTTGTAATCTGTTTTTCTTTTTTCTTTCTTACTTTTTTGGTTTTTTTTTTGGTCGTTTTCGTGGTTTCTTTGTTTAAACTTTTCTTTCTTTTGTCTCATGCCCCTTGAGAAGAAGGAAAAATTTAAAAGAAAAGTGAGGTCTTAACGAGTTGGGAGCTGAGCCCAAGCTATATTATATTTTTAAATGTAGCGCACCGTATGTGAGGTATAGTGGCAATTATTAGTGTGATAACCAAAGTTGGGCATCTTTAAGAGACAGCCAGCTTTTAGTCTAATCAAACATTAAGTATTTTAATCTTGTATTGAATATTATATCTTAATAAAATTTTAGTACATGGTTATCAAATGAAAAAAAATATACATATAAATATAGAAAAATATATATGAAAATATAAGTTATAAGCATTCAATTTTTTGTAATTTTAGAGTGCATATTGTATGAAGATCATGTGCAGAAATTTTGGTATATTGAAGTAATAAGGTTAGCTAAAAAAAGAATTATTATATAAATAATAAGCTTTTGTATAATGATTAGCAAATTTGTATAAAATTAATTGTTAGAATGAAAAATATAAAAGGAAAATTAATATTTCTGTAATATAGTTATCTCTCTATATAGTTACCTTCCATATAATCATATTATATATAATCATATTTTATTTAGGCCAAACTATAATTTAATTTATAAGAAAAAAATCTCTATATAAACACAACCCCTTTATAAG